GATGTAAAAAATCAAGGGCGTCTCTGGGTATCATCGCAACCGTCCTTGCCCAGCAGGATATATATACCTAATACTTAATACCAACTCAAACCATACGCCGCCTTCTCCTCGCTAAATCCTGAAACAGTGCCTAAATCTACGAAGTATCAAAAACATGGTGACGACGTTCGCCTCAGCGTCTATCTAAGTCATCCTCCTCTTCTCCCCCCCCTTTCATCCTCTCGCCCATGGTCTCATTTCCATCATCTATTATACCCTTGTCGGCCGCGGCCATCAACAGTCTCATCAACACCAACTGGGTAGCGTGCGGGATCTTCTATTTAGGTTTACAGGTAGAAACCTGATCCTAGTTCTCCTCACTGCCTTTCCACCGATCACAGAAATCCCGGAAGTCTTCGGCCGACGGATGGATCGTAGCACAACCAATGGGTCTTCGCTCACATCGTGGCCCAACGGGCTCCATCTCCAGCTCGTCCGTCGTGCTCCCTTCGTTTACCCCAGAGATGTCGTGGAAATAAGTGTTGATGGCCTGGATTCGCGTAAGATCGATAGGCTTACCGAGGCGATCGAAGACAACAATGGTCCCGGCATTGCGGACCGGGTGTATACAGCAGCGACCGCTTTGCTTACTGATTCTATACACCATGTGCTTAGCCGGCAAGTTCAGCAAGCCCTGGTCCTTGATATCCGCCTCGAGCCATTCTTGATGCGCAGACCGTTGGCGGTAAGACCACTCCAGCCCCAGCTTCGTCAGACCTAAGCACACGCCTTGGAGAATCCTCGCTTTTGTAGCCGATGAGTTCTTTTCTCGGTCGCGACGCAGTATCACCTTCTCCACTCGAGAACACAACCCAAATCGCTTAAACCGTTCTAACGCCCCGTCGCAGTGAACTAGGAAAAGCAGATCCGTCAGCATGTCCCGTATCCTTACTTGGGCAGTTACCGTTACCAGCAACGGGAGGACAGAATCACTTACTAATAACACCCGGCACGGTAGGAAACGTATACCGCTCCGGGTTGATCACACACAAATTATGGGGGTGGTGTTGGTACAAATCAACAGCATGGCGGAAGTCTCGGAAGTTGACATCTAAAGCACTCCGAGTTAGTTATCATCATCTCCAGTATCATCCATGCGGATCTCAGATGTTTCTAGGCACGGCTTCCATCCAAAGGGAATGTTTATGCCCTAAAAATCACCTGAACCGGGAGAAAGTAGCGCGAGGAATACTCACGGTCTAGTGTGATCCCACGAGTTCCCGTTGTGTTCGGTCTTCGGCCGACGACGATTTGGTTGCCGAACCAAGTCTTCATCTGGCCTGGCTTCCCCAGGGCTAAGATGCTCGCATTGATCGGGACTTGGGGCAGCGGTTTCTCGTGTACGCCTATCATGGCAAGTCCGTGGCCTACCCTTCCATGGCCCGCTTCTTCTAACAGGGCATTCATGTCGGCGATCATGTTCGCGTGACGCGCATAGGGCCGGAGCCAGCAGTCGATGATAGGCAAGAGGTAGTCGTAATCCGAGAACTGCTCGAGCCAGATGAATCTCGGCGTCGCCTCCTCGGCCGGGAACAGAATAGCAACTACGTGGTCGGGTGAAGGGCGCGGTGTTTTGGTGAACTCGGACAGATGGCCGCAGAGCAACCGATGGATCGGCCAGTCCTTGCTTTGGCACACCCGGGAGCAATAGCGCGCCGACATGCAACCGCTACACCTGTAGTGACCCTTCACCTCGCAATAGGTGCATCGCCGGCGAATGTCCTCGTCGGTAGACGGGCATGTCTGTGCCATTCCCTGTACTACCTCCGAGGTCTTGATGAGTGCCATCTCCATAGCGATGGCAGATGCTTGAGAGTCTTCGTCCTCCATCTTGATGACTGGTATTGCGGTCGCAGACGTTCGGGTTGATAGAGCAGTCCCAAAACAATCGTGATACCTGGTGGTTGTATGGAAGATATAGTCTGTCTCGAGAATAGTGTATACGAGGGAGGGAAGAGGTCACTCGAGAGCTTTTATGACTCAGCCGTGTTTCTGACAACAGACTGAGCAAGGGGAGTGGATTGAATCAGGATTGCCACTAAGTGTGTCCTGGAATGCCCTAAGTAACACTACGGAACATGTGCAATCTTGTTTACACTCAGGTGACGATTTGTGCTACAACAACTAAATGCACCCTTAGCACGATTTGTAGGTGTTACATTGTTTCCTCAATAGAGGAAAGAAGAGAGATTTTAAAAAGAAAGCTCTAAAACGCAAGCGTGCACGGCGAATGAGTCAACCCCATCAGAGCTGCCGCTATCTCAGAGTGAATGTATCTTAGGTGAAGAACGACATTGGACATGTTAACTTCGGAGCACAACAATGACTAGTAGAAAACCGCATCGTGTCACAATTCGCCCATCGCCTTGTAAATGGAATCGATACCTTCCCCTTTTCGGGGGTCTGAGTGTTTCAGTAGCTTTTTGTGATAGGGCTCAGATGGCGCGGTGGCGGGCACCCATGGGGTTGACGGCTCCGATGTCTCATCGACTTATCACTACCGACCTAGGTGGTCTTACTGGTCATCAGCACACGGAAGATCGATACCCAACAATAGTAATGTCTTTTTTCGACACACGGCCTTCCTCGCTTCTTCCCTCAAGCTATATCTAACTTGCACTCTCCATATTAAGGGACCATGTAATGTATGCATGATCAAAAATCCCGTGTCAGCTACGTAAGGGTGACTTTGCTAGCTAAAATCTATATAGAAGAGGGCGTATGAAAACGTGGAATAAACTTGGGTATGCCCAAGTTAAACTTTTAAGGGAGCTTCTGCTATCTTTTCAAAAAACCTATCGAGACTAGCAAGCTTAAATAATTACATTATTAATTGTTCTTGAGCTTCGGTTGTTGTCGGTGTTGTTATAATAGCAGTTCTATGTGATATGTTCGAGTTCTTTAGTCTTGTTGATAAAACTAAACAACTTAATCACTATTTCTAGAAACTCACTTCCCTATCGTTTGCTTTTAATAGTAGGTGATGGAGGAACAAAGCTGTCCAAGGATAACCCGAAACTCATCGACATGGCGTGACCTAAAAGTGTCCCCAGATTGCCAACCTAACGGTATGCTAAAGAATCTCACGCGATACTTCAACTTACGGCCCAGCATTTTCGCTCAATACCTCACCAGAATATTACCAATGCAAAGAAGTATCCCCACGGCCAAAATGAAGTAGGCGAGAGGGAAAAGGTCACAAGGTAATTTATATAAACGACCGGGTGTGGTGGGGAAGGTATGTAAAATGGGGAGTCTTGATAATCTTAAGTGAAAGCTATGGTCGATTCTTCTAGTACAGCAGAAGATAGCAGCCCGCTTGACTAGGTGCCGTCGTTACCGACTTACATGTAATATTTAGCGGGATAGAGTAATTAGACTGAGGCCAGGAACGAGAAATAAATATGAATCAATGCTTTTAGCTGGGGCAAGTTAGCAAAAGAATGACGTGTTAGGGAGAAAGTTTATTACGGATGATATGTAATAATACGAGGATGTTCTCCTACAACGAAAATGACAGCAAAATGATTTATATTTAACCGGAATCGAGTTCGATAGCCTGAACAATTAAAGTTTATAAAGAGCTATTTGTTAGTTACTACTAGTAAACTTATGTATCCTTTTCGATTTAGAGTTATAAAGAAAACTAGATGTACTAACAACGCATTTTATTTTATTTCTTTGTCCCTACAAACGTGAAACATAATTATTAAGGCAGTTGGTTGTTAAGTTCTCAGGGAGTGACGCCGACGCCAGGACGGACTCCGCTGATGCGGAATTTGCTAGGTGGAAGCACTTACAAGTGCTCCAGGTAGATAAACCACACCGATATCCAATAATAAGTTCTAAGGTTGCAGACATACCTGTCATCTATAATATGCCGAAAAGATTTATAAAAAAAAACCGAGATAATTAGTTGTTGAAAACAAGACCATCCAACCGTGACAAATTAGGAGAACATATCGTGGGACGAAAGGAGACACGATGAAAAGGGGGAAACGACCTGTCAACGAACCACACAATACTCGTCTCTATGTCCATTTCAGCCAGCTAGGTTGCCTGCCCACTAGAAAGCAAGGTCATAGTTTTTATTTCCCCTTCTCCCCACCCTCACTAACGCACGAAAAATACCCTGGTTTACTTACTTCTATAATCTAATAGTTCAACGAGTAGTTGTGCTTGCTAAGCCTAAGATTTGCTAGACATGGTATACTAGAAGCTGATTGTCTAGAACACGAAAAAAATTCATTAGATGCTCAATGCACGATAGGACGTGCTCTCAAACACAAGAAGGCGTTTCCAACATTGCCGTCAAGACTCAATGGATGCAAACATGTTACACCGCCAAGACTGCCCCGATACTGTTAGCAACTTAGCTAGGGCTAAGTGCCCGCTTCATCGAAACCGAGTAAGACTAAGTTGATCATACAAAGGCCATTGGAGAAACTAAGTCACGAGGTCCTCAGCCGCCTGTAAAGAATTTTAATGAACCTGCGATTTTACTCGCACTCTTTTCCGAAATCAAAGACAACGTTAATGTAAAGCCCGCTAGGCTCATGTTAACGGACGTCCTCAGGAAGAGCGAGATATGACAATAACCATGTGTCCTCACCAACCGAAGCATAAACTACGTTACTAAACCCAGTCGCGCGTTTAATAAAAGAGTTACTAAGCCTGGCATACAGACAAAACCGAGATGCTTGACACTGGGTAAAGGTCAAGATAGAAGGGTTACCACCAAGTGATATATTCTAACATAGTGTTTTCCTGTACAATATCTTATTAACAAAGAAACAGGAAACGGCCAACTCGTAGTTGTCATCTATACGCTGCCTCCAAATATGATTGTGCCCCTGATGCTAGCGACTTCGTAATACCGGCTGCGACCTGGTGGCTGAGAGCTCGCTGGCTTCATAACAAAAGTATAACGATGTCGACACAATAACGATTCCTATTCGTAAGGCAAGATGGCCGAGTTGGTTAAGGCGGAAGACTTAAGCGTTGCACGCAGTTTTCTTCTGGAGCAATCCTCGTGGGTTCGAATCCCACTCTTGTCAATTTTGTTGGGGTGTGGAGAACTCTTTTTATGACTGTTTTCAACTGAGAATGATGGGTATGCATTTACGGAGGTCTAGAAAGCAGATATTCATTCAACTTAGAGCAACGAAATGGGAATCATAACACTGCAAAAAATTTTTGGTAGAAATGAAAGCTCACACTATTGGAAACTATCGGTCTGTGTTGCGGAACACAGAGCTATTTGCTTTTATATCAAGTAGTATGGGATGCAAGCCGCACTCGCTCATTCCGACCTGTGTCCTAACTCGTCGGAGTGAGCGCTCGTTGGTGTATAGTGCGGCGGTTCTGTTTTCGGAGGGGAGGCTCCGCCGGCGTCGTCGGCTGGGTTGCCCGGGGGCTATGAGAATGCCGCCGATCGTGAACTCCTCTATCTTGTTGGTATCTATACATACATACCGGATCTGCGTATCTGCTTTATGCTCGATAAGTGCACTATCTCCTTCTTTCTTCATCCAGGCGGATGCGGTGTATACCTAGGTCCTGCCTAGGCTATTATGCACCGATCTTCATATTGTTCATCTTATACCTCGAATGATGTAAACGTAGTGCATGTATAGTACGGCCACAAACAAGTACGGCTAGGCTCGAAATGACCGCCTCTCCCAAAAACCGGGTCGGGTGCCATACCTAATAAAACAAAATGGTAAACGGAGATAAGATGCCAAGACTTGGTGCAATCCATCGATCCATCGGATGTTGTGATTTGGTGAAAATATGTTGCCATGCTCGCCGTGTTAAATAATGCGCGATTACTCACTAGAAAGTTGGGCTGGCGGTCGCAATCCCCGATCCCTGTATTGGGAAAGTAGCGTGCGTAGTTGCACGGCGTAGGTAAGCGACAAGACGATCAGAGTTGGGGAGCAAATTGGGCAGATGGGCAAACTCTGTTGATCTATTCCTAACGCCTCGATGGGATCTTCGTGCGCAGTCCGAACTTGCCTGTTCGAGGACGGTGACCGATGAAATCGGATCCCGTTGGTACTTCACAATCAGTCAGTCTCCCGTATGTAGTTCTGCCCGTAGTAGGACCGGTTATACGTCCTCCTCGGCTCGGGTAAGATTAGCGAGGAGAGCGAGCCAAATGTCTCGGGTTGTCGCAACGAATGCATAGTCTGTGCCTAGGTAGGACCTGAGCTCTGGCTTGGGCTGGGAGTGTTCTAGATAGATAGTTGCTGCACAAATGTTATATAGTTGTATCTTGCTAATTACTCACTTAGTGGTATATAGGATCCAATCGTGTCTTTGTCGTGTCCTAGTTGCTCGACTGGTCTCCTGACTAGTACCATACTAGTATTGCATGACAATGACTAATGTGGCCTTGCCATTGGCGGGCTTGTAGAATTGCGTACGCGTACAACTAGTAGCTTCAGGTTTTATTGTGAGGTAAGGTGCACAGTTAAAAAAAAAAGATTTATTCCATTGAATTACCTAGTACTTACAGGTAACGTAAACCCCTGAAAATACCTACTTGGTGGGATTAGGATGGTGGATTCCAATGGTACCTACTGTACAACAACGGTGCTTTATCCAGGAACAGGACCAGGAACAGGACCAGGAACAGGACCAGGAACATATGACATCTGTCAAACAGGACATACGTAGGTATTCATCGTCGCCCTTCTATTTTAAACGTGAAACTTAACAAACAGCCATTTACACAACCGACTGCAAACGCGGAATGATTGGTTGACGATCGCACTCCGATTCGTTAAATTACCAGGTTGGGTATAGCCGCAGAACTCTGCTAACGACCCCCAAGTGGATCGAAGTGTTCGTCAGCTACTGTTTCATCGGCCTGGCTCCCGCTTAAAATATTAAGCCACCTGCTTAACCCACCACCCATCCACTGCATCCACCACATCAACAATGACGACTGCAGATCTATCTTTACAATCAAAATCTGGGGCCATTTATAATGCTCAAGTCTAGCCTAAGCAGGGGAAAAACTAGGGTGGTATAGTTGATCACTCGAGTTTGTATGGAATAGTCAGTCGACAACCCTTTTTTTATACCCACCTCCCAGCCTACTTACCTACCTACCTGGGTATACTATCGACGATCCAGGTCATGACTTATCCAGGTTGATCTTGTCACAGTCACACAGCGCATCTCGATGAGGGCCGTGATAGGTTCAAGTGGTATTATACCTGGGCAGAGCCTGGGGAATATGCCTAACGATGCTTGAACTCGCTACTGCTGCTACACCAAGTAAAGTACATGTATGCAAGTATGTACCTACAGTAGTTGCATGCATGTGATGATACATGATGTATACCTACCTACCTACATACCCTACCTTAAGTATGCGTACTTACATACATAGCCTCCCGACCTAGGATGTTAGGTAGGCGCGAACATGGGTGTCGGCACTAGATACGCAAGACATGTTACGTTTGTTACGCAAGAGGCAATACCTCAAGTAAGAGGTATGTAGATGTACAGATAATAGGTAAGTGTATATGTAATAGAGGGAGGAGGGGGGGATAAGTAGGTAGACCCGTTTCTCCTTCTCCGATCTTCTTCTATTTTATTATATACTACATGCAGGTAACTTACTTACCTCCCTACCTATCTACTTGCCTACCTAGGTAGTCTATGTTGGTCGATAGATTAGGTAGATAGGTAGTTGGCATTTATTTACCTACTTATACTAATCGTGTATATATAGGACTTGCACTTGTCTACCTACCTCCTAGGCATCTTATCTAGTCTGCCTACTAACTTCCTTCCTTCCTACCTACCTACCTGCCTACCTGCCTACCTATTTACTTAGACTAGGTAGATAGCTGTCTGTCTTGACTCGCCTCTTTCTTGTTTGGTCTCCATTTCGCGGACGGCTATTTTCGTCGTACCCGTCCACTCATTTGCAATAACTCCATTACCTACCGTCGTCTCTCCTTTCCAACATGTCTCTCGTTCGGTTCTCCTCGCTCCTCGTAGCAGCGGCGTATGCTGGCCTCCCAGCTCTTGCGGATTTGCCTGTGATTACCGACGCCGTTGGCTATAATGGCTGGGCATATGGAGACAGGCCTAACCAGACTTATCATTCTTCTAGCCTCGTATCGCCGCGTTTTCTCGTAAATGTGTGGGATAAGAATGCGACGACGGCGGGATCACATATCTTCATGGCCCCGGCTAACCCCGGCCAGAAGGCGAGCCCCATGATCTTGTCGAGTAAAGACTTGAGCCTCGTCTACGCAGATCCAAATTGGGGCGGAGGCACCGACACGCGAATGCAGTTTCACGACGGGGACCCGTACCTCACATTCTGGTCGGGCTTCGACCAAAAAGGTCACGGTACCGGCGGCGGTGTCATGCTCGACCCCAACTATAGACTGTTCAAGAACCTCACCACTACGGGGCTCATCACCGGCGCCGATAGCCATGACTTCAGCGTGACTAGCGACGGTGGCGCCATCATGAATAACTACCACGAGATCTACACGGACCTAACGTCCATTGGCGGCCCCGTCAATGGCAGCTTACTGGACTGCGCGTTCCAGGAGGTCGACGTCGAGACCGGCGAGGTCCGCTTCACTTGGAAGGCGACGGATCACTTCAACCTGACCGAGAGCTTGGCGGATAGCTACACGGATACCGATGGCGGGTTCGACTGGTTCCACATGAACGCCATATCGAAGACGGTTGACGGGAACTATCTCATCTCGATCCGACACCTTCGAACCGTTGCCTTGATTAACGGCACCGATGGCAGCAGGATCTGGCAGGTGGGCGGTGTGAACAACTCGTTTAAGGATCTCAGCAACGGCACAGCGACCAACTTCGCCTTCCAGCACGATGCCCGCTTCACCGACGACACCGAGACGCAGATCACTCTCTTCGACAATCACGCTATGCACGTCACGTCACCCACGGCCGGCTGCACCCAGGATTGCACTCGTGCCGTGCGCGTCGCTCTCGACTACGAGGCCATGGAAGTGCGACTCGTCTCCGAATTCTACCATCCCCAGAGCGTCCAAGCCTGGGCCCAGGGCGGCTACCATCTCCTCCCGAACGGCAACGCCCTCATCGGATGGGGTGTCGTGCCCGCCATGACCGAGTTCGATGCCGCCGGCAACGTGGTCATGGACATCCAAATCCGCCCCTGGAACACAACTGCTGGAGGGGGCGGTCCTCTGTACCGTGTCTACAAGTTCGACTGGATTGGCCAGCCGCTCTGGCAGCCTAGCTGCGCCTTTGCCGACGGAACTACCTATGTGAGCTGGAATGGCGCGACCGAGGTTGCGTCTTGGTCATTAGTGAGTTGATCCCGTTAAGTACATGAAGCAACCAGACCACTAATACACAGTTTAGTACGGTGGATCTTCACCTTTGTCCATGGACCAACTCTCCAAGGTGACGAAAGCCGGCTTCGAGACGGGCATCCCTACACCTGACAATATCGCCTTCGTCCGCGTTGACGCCTTGGATGCCGATGGCAATGTTATCGGTTCTAGCAACGTCGTCGACACATCGAGCGGTGACTCAGTCGGGTCTCTCATTCGAGGATAAGGGACACTCAATGGTATAAAGGGAAAGTATCGACCGGCTATGTCGTGCCAGGCTCGATAGAAAAACAAGTGGTGGATGTAACGACAACGCCGTATTTACCCCATGCGGCGATGATACCCTATTGACAGCATCATGAAGTTGTATTCCTTTGCAAGGCTACATACTCAGTGCTGAAGGCAGAGTGGTGACTTATTCGAAGTCACTATATGACTTATTTGAGCAAAATTATAGAGTGATACCTAATTTGCGACACATTAAGCGTCGTAATTGTTCTCGTATATCCTTAGACTTCGGCGTCTATTTATATCATATACCTGTATATAGCTGCAGCCTAGAGCACATAGAAAATCAAGCATATATTTGCAAGAGACGGTCCGGTAGTTTTACCAGATTGTACGTTCCGGCACCCGAATCTTTCTCACCTAGTCGTCATTTCCACTGGGTGGTACGCCCTCGGTTCCCCGGC